AGATCATTATTTTCTAGACAAAGGCTTTGAGTTAAGAAATAAAGTTAATATTGCTATTCTTAGCTCCTCCAAGGGTCGGGTCACCGTGGCAACTTCACACACATACCTAAACTTCCATGGCCTATTCCTTAGAACACAGACAGTGTCTCTCAATTCCTTAAATCCTTCTCAAGATTTAGTGAGAAGAGGAAAGTGCACCCCTGCCCCCTAGTCCACTTGAGACCCACACAGGCGATTTTCCCTTAAGACTGATAATAAAATTCTACTCCCAAGCCCCAGGGAGGTCTCCTAAGATTTGCCTACGGGTTGGTTCTAAAAGCTGAAAACAACAAACAATACCTCATCAAACTGTACACTTTAAATATGTGCAGTTTATTGTATCATTTATGACTCAATAAAACTATTTTTTAAAATGAGGGTCCCTGACAGTAGGGCCACCCTAACCAAAGAAATAATCTCAAGCAGGTGAAAATGTATCCCAGAAAGTATCAGGGAGATTTTCCTATATTAGAGATAAAAGCTAGAGGCTCCATGATCTAATTCCCAGAATGTCCAACACAATTCACCATTATCTTAGTCTGGAAAAACTCTAAATTTGGCATAACCAAATACTCATTCAGCTTCATCTTTAAAAGACCTCACAAAGGTCATATAAGAGACCTTCTGGTTTTGAGGACTGTAATTTCTTGATATGGCATGAAGATAAACTGATGACAAAATATGTGCTTACGTGGTGAATGATGCGAATATTAGCTGAAAAATGTAAAAGCTGGCAACATCTAAAAACCAACTTGTTTTTGGTTTAGGTTCAAAAGGCTCTTAGGTTGCTCATTCATTCATTCAATGAACATTTATGGAGAGCCTACTAGGGGAAAGTGCTGTACAAGGACCTCAGGAGACCAAGGTAAACCAGAAAGACAAGATGCTGGCCCTCAGGAGTTCATGTTCTAATGGAGGCATGGAGAACTGGGACAGTAACCACATTAACAAATAACTTAAAAGAGTTACAGAGGGTAAAAAGTGCTATGAAGGAATAATAATAATAACACTGGTGATAATTATAGTGGTCACTTATACAGCCCTTACCAGGTGCGAGGCACTGTGTATAAGTATAACTGGAAATAACTGACCCTATGAAGGTGTTCTATTATTTTACACATGAAGAGAGAAGGCCCAAAGTCACATGGACAATTCATGGCAGAGCCAAGGCTTGAATCTCAGCCACCTGGGTTCAGAGTCCAGGTGTTTTCCCCATGATCGTACCATCTTAGGAGTCAAGAACAGAAAGTGGAAGAAGGAAAATTACTTTAGGTAAGGTGGTGAGGGAAAGTCTGTCAGAAGAAGCGACATCTGAGCAGAAATCTAAAGAATGAGACATGTAGTCCTTTCTGGCAATAACTGAAGGCCAAGAGTACTTGACTATTAAGCCTCCTTTATGGCACAGACCATTAGAAATGCTAATTTTTATTCTATCTACAGCAGAGAAGCAAGTTGCTAAATATTATTTTTTAAAACTGGGCAGTGGTATTTTAAAGAAATGACTAGAAATCAAAGTAAAACAATAAACTTAACAAAAACTTATGGTTTATGATAAGCCTATAATACACAATAATGTTTGAAAAATGTCCAAAATCCAATGTTTAGCACTTGCTTCATTCAAACTTTTTGCTTGCTAAGAATCATGTCTTCCCTACCCAAATGACTACTGAACTTACATGAGTCAGCTCCGAATCACGAGGGTGTAAAAATCTTCCATTCTATTTTGTAGAACACTGGTATTTTTGAACAAAGATTTCTTTTTTTAACTGCCTTCAGTTCCTGGCAAATATACTCATTTATACATACTCTGGCATGATGTCTTCAAGAATTCCCTGGGGTTTTCCAAGAAACTCTTACCCCTATTTTCAACTTGCTCAAGTTTAGGAAGATCCTGTCTAAACAGAATAGAACCCACAACATTTACAACCACCCCAAGGGGTCTGATGAGAATCTCCAGAAGTGAAGAGTGAATGTGATCAAAGCAAGAGAATGCTATCTTAAGAATCTGAACAAAGACTCCAAGGGACAGAATTCAAGGTCATTTATACAGCCACTCTTGCCCCTACTCACTCCCCATAACCAATTTTCTCTTGAAGAATTTCATACTTTAATTAAGAGGTCATTTGTTTGCAAGTCACCATACCACTACCTTCATTTATTACCTATCCTAACACAGGCAGAAACTGTAGTCAGTTATGGAAAGTTGAGGGAGAAGAGAAAGGACAACTGAAGACACAAAGGGAGGGCCAACTATTCTAGAAGCACATTTCCTATCTCAGTCCTCCTGTTAAATTTTCTTTTTACCTACCTCTAATGCTCAGCTTCTTTCAAATTGCCCCACAGCTTAATTCCACAGCTGAACCTCTGATCCCAGAGAATCTACTTCAGTAGAGAATCTACTCCCAGGACCACCCTGTTTTGTTTCTGCCACAAGCAAGTTCCTTGGGCCTTTCCATTACCAAAGTGAACCAAGGAGCTGAGGGGGAGTTCCAGCTTCTGCTGACAAGCCTGTGGCAAACAAAGACATTTCTCTGGAGACTTGGAATTCAATTCTGAACTCATTTCCCTCATTACATGTGGTGGTGAGATTCTTTTATTTGATCATGACTACACTCTGGCATACTCTGAGTCACAGTCTAATCTGAGCTCCAAACCACTATGCATAAGACACAGCAGTGCCAGACACTTGAAGATATATTATCACATTTGATCTTCTCAAAACATCTGGTGGGGCGGGCGGGGGGTGGGGGGTTCAGTGTTTGGCAGCACTGTGAAAAAAGCAAAAGTAGGTAACTGATGGAGACTTAAATGTATGTTTACAAGATATAAGAAAATAATTCACAAATGAATTTTTATAACACTGCTTGTTTTACATTGGGAATGGTCTGGGCCCTGAGTAGTTTACAGAGCAAAAGAAAGAGCAATAGTCAGAAAAAGTCCCCAAGTCTGACTCCTATAGTTGGCTTTCCTCTATCTGAAACTACCTGAGACTTACCCTAAAGGCTAAGCCAGGTGTCACTAATACCTGGATGTTTTGCTCACCATCAGAAACTTCAATCTGATGGCCTGACATCAAAGAAATAGTCACAGTCTCCGAAAGATAGATGATTTGTTTACCTGGTCTCAACTGGCACAATTCTTGTTCCAATGAGGAAAATACTCATTTGAAAGAAAAGAGACAGAAGAGTGAAAATACTTCCCACTTGGGCAGCAATTTATCGTTCCAACTTAAGTGAGAGTAAATAATGCAATGATTTGAGTGACTCTAAGTGACTCTGGACTTTCCCTAGGCGGATCTTTATGCCTATCTGAGCAATTCTACACCTGTCCAATAATAAAAAGTATAGCAATACTCCTTCGTGCATCACGCACCAAGTGTTGGCATGCAATGCTGATAATACCTAACAAGTAAAGACAGGCTTTCATTACCGAGCTTGTGTTTACCCATGCTCTTCAGTGTGACTGTGGAAATTCTTGGAAATGGTTGTCATTTTCCATGACCCATAGTTATAATATATAAATAATATACAGGAAGGACAGCCTGAGAGTTAAGAATTGTTTTCGGTGCTTACCTTCAAAGGAGGAAAAAATATTTCAATAAAAAGGAATATCTGAAGGGTATGGATAAAGTTCAAGGCTCATAGATGGTTTAAATTACTTTTCCAGGGATATACAATAGTCAAACTGATTTTTTATGAAATCTTTGGCAATCTCACTCTCTGTGGGAGAAAGTGAGTGTCATTTTAGTCTTGAGAATCATGCCAAAACAAATGCCTCAGATAAAAGATGGGAAAATAAGTGACAGTGGTTTCTTTTTTACATGCTTTGATATCTTAAATAACAGAATCGCTTTCGGCTCCCTAAGCAGTTGGTGATGTCTATTTTTTGGCTTTTGCACATGTTGGTCTTCCTGCATAAATATTCTTCCTGCCATAAAAAGTCACCTTTTCCACTTCTCTTGGTTAACTACTTTTTATCCATCACACAGAAAATCACTAAGAACTCACATTTCCAGAAGCCTCTCTGACCTCAGCCAACCTTGTACGGTTGGTTGTTTGGGCTGTTTCATTCTTTGAAAATGCCTTCATTGTTTTCAGTAGGAAATTCTTTCGACTAAAGGGCGTGAAAGTTTATGATCTATCATGTAATGAAGGTCTATTGCAAATTGCAACTTCCTAGTTCATTTTTAATTCACATTATTCTTCAAAATAATACAACCATGTTACTTTAGACATCTCTAAAAAGACTTCACTGAATCAGATTGGCCATAACCTTTCTGAGTAAAGCTGATTAAAAAGGGGGAAAGGGGCAAGCTGCTGCTGGGATGGAACAGAGGTTCGTTCATTTATTTGGAGTTTCTTGGAGGTCTCCTCTGAAAATCACTATTCTCATTCTGATGATGAGGCAGATAATAAAAGAAAAAAGTAAACAAATAAACCGTACTCAAGAACTTTATCAGCCTTCTGAACCCACAGCTGGCAAATGGACTAGAACACTCAGAAACAGTATAGGTGCTGAGAGGAAGCACACAGTGACATTTCACAAGATACAGGCACACTGTGGGCAGGGGCACCAAGTGAAGAGTTCCAAACATTTCATGGCCTCAGGACCTTCCGTTACTGGAGGGTGGGATGAAGTTCTCCCTAAACCATCCAATGATCTGGAACAGGACATTCCCAGTGCTTTGTGCTATGAGGACTTTTTTTTTTTTTTTTTTTTTTTAAATAGACTAGGTTTATCTAGGTTTTTTTTTTAAATAGACTAGGTCTTGGTTCTCCCCGCTCCAGTTTTGCTGAGATATAATTGACATAAAACAGTGCATATTTTAAGGTATCCAACATAATGATTTAATATACATCTATATTGCAAAATGATTAAGACCTAATGCTCAGATGGCATAATTAAGATTTATTTCCTAAGCTGAGCACTAACATGATATATATTTCTACAGATGAACTTACCTCAACATATGAAATTGGGAATATTCCTATTTTGTCTGCCAGCATGCCTTCAGCCCAGTTTTCATCCACTCTGCGGATCACAGTCAGAACATCATCCTAACGAAACAATAAACATTAGTCTACCTGATCCCATCAAGCCTGCCACTTACTTTTCCTCTTCAATAAAGAGACTACCGTTTTAAGAGTACATGAATAAAAACGCTATGACATATCTTTAATACATGCATCCAATGTTTTGATGAACTAAATGGTATCTTTCAGTCAACCTGTTGTCCTTTCAGAAAATTGTTAAACTAGGAACACCTCCTGTACAAGATTGGCTGCTTGTGTTGTTTAGATCCATAAATTGCACCTTGGAGTGCTACCCCTTGAACCTGTTTTAAATTGATTCTCAGGCTCTTGTCACTTTCTCTCTGGTAACACACCAAATGCCCATTTAAATTCATATCCCACTTTTTTCCTTTACAAAAAATACAATATCCTACTTAAAATGCCAAAGCATGCAGGTATGATAATTCAGTAGATATACCCCTGTGTACTTTTCAGCAAAGAAATTTACATATAAAATAAGGAAGCAATGATGCTTCATTTTGTTATTCACAATTCTGTGAATTAAAATTCCTAAATAGTATACCCTGTAAAGTAGCTTAGAATTAAATTTAGGCTCTAAATATGAAAACGATTACCACATAGAGCATCAAACAAAATTGTCTTTCATATAGAAGAATCCAAGCACAAAATTCCTTCCTATGTGACTTTAAGAAGTCTGCTACCAGGTATGTTTAAAAGCACAGTGATATAGTTCACATATATCTATTGTGCCTTTTTTGCAAAATGAAATACAAGCCATACTGCCATGTATCCAGGTACAGAGGAATAGCTGACAGGCGGAAAACAATCTCATTCTAATTTTACCTTTGCAAATGGAAGGCAATCTTTGTCTGCTTCCTTGTCTTTCACCTCAAAGTCATACAGTGCTTTGCACTGCGGTGGGGGCTGAGGTAACGGTTTGATAATCTGCACAAAGTTGGTGGGGAAAAAGCCGTGGATCCCATTGACTTCCCCATGGTACCAATTTTCATCCACTTGTCGCCGCAAAATGATGATGTCACCTTTGCTGAATTTAAGGTCTCCGGGCTCTTTCCCTTCGTAGTTGTATAATGCTTTGGCACATGGTAACTGAGGTATACCCTTAAAGAAAGAGATGAGGTTTAATGAAAAAATGTCCTAAAAATGTCTGAAAACTTAACTGTGTTATTATTTTTAAGCCATGGTCAAACTAAAACTTTGACCTAGAAAGAAAGTCTCACATGGAGAAACCAAACATGTATCTCATTAAGATACAACAAACAAACAAATGTCACATTGAAATAAGAACAGTAGAACACCCATGCACCCTTTGTGATTTAGCCTTCTACTCCTAAGTCTAATTTAACGGGCTTAGTTTGGGGTATTTAATACAGGGAAACACAACTGCTGAGTCTGGCTCCCTGGAATAAAACTTGAAAACTCATAAAAAACACACTCATTTTCCAATACTAGCTACTTTATTCAACAGGATGAATGATAAGTACTGAGAAGAAAAATTTAAACAGAGGCACAATGAATTCATTTACTGACTGCTCTTAGGCTTGGTTACGAAGCAGAATTTGACTTTGGGCAAAACTTTCCCAACTGCTTTTAATGTGGACCGTAGGTCCTATTCTCTCATGAACTCAAGTTATTTATTATTATTATTGAGGGTCTACTATGTGCCAGGGTCTGGAATACCACAGTCAGACAGCTACAGCTGCTGCCCTCTCAAAGTTTATAATCCATAATTGTACAGCATATGGTCTTTTACAACCTGTACAAGATCATTCAACTTTGCACGCTGCTGGTTAAAGAGCACTGTTAGGCTGATATGCTAATAGTTGAGGGTTTAAATGTTACTGTACTGCATTATGATTTTAAATGGCAGGTTTAAAAATGCATGTGTATCCCAAGACAATTTAATCATCAAATGCATTACATGTAAAATTTCCCAGTGGCATGGAGGCACCCATTCTTGAGCATTAGTTGTCACTTTAAGAAGATCTCTGGCCTCTCTGGGATACAGCTGCCTATCATTGATTCGAAGAATAAATGACAAATTAAACATATTTATAGTAATTCACTGAATGAGATTACTGGGCTCCTGCTTTTCATGTACTTATTCATTTATTCATTCATCTAGAAAACATGTATTAAGCTTTTTCATTTTTACCAGGCAACTTGCTAGTGCTGAGGATTTAAAGAGGAATAGGGCTCAGTTCTTATCCTTAAGGGATACAACATTAGAAACAATTATAATACATTGAGTAGTGATTGCAATGATAGAGTTATGCAAAGATAGGGAAGGAATGAGAGAGAGGATAGAGGAGCAGAAAGCATAGGCCTTTGGTGGGTATAAAATGAGACACTTCCTGCAGGAAGTGACACCTGCGTCAAATCTTTAAGGATACATAGGTGTTAGCCAGGCAAAGCTGGAGCAGACAAAAGAGAAAAGCAAGGGCATTGCAGGCAGAGGAGATAGCACCAACAGAGACACGGAGCATGCTGTGCAGAGGAAGTGGGGTTTTAAAAAGGACGTGGTGTTCCTGGAGAGGGATTAAGGAATATGAAGTACAGGAGAGGTGGGCAGAGGCAGGTTTATGGAGAGTCTTGAATGACACGTTGAAGAGTTTCAAGTGCCGTTTCCTTCAGGCAGTGATCGGCCACTCCCAGGCTGGAAGCTCAGACAGCCACGGTAAGAGCCACGGGCCAGGCTGACGCATCTGGCAGTGGGTAGCAAATGGGCAGGAAGTGGGCTGGTAGGCAGACAGCTCTGTGCAAAGCACAGGTCTACACTAGTTGAAGTAGTTTTTTTAAGTTTAATCTTTCTAATGAAATAGAACAATAGGGAGAGTTACTCATATTACTACATTCTCCCTAGCGCTCCCCCAACCCACAAGAAAAAGTGGGTCAAAGTTTTATACCCTTGATGGCAACAAACCTTCATAATATAGTTTTAAAAAACAGTTTGGTTTCTCTTCAGAGATTTAAGACTCTGACCTACTTATAAAAGCCAACTTTTCTCTCTCTCTCTCTCTCTCTCTCTCTCTCTCTCTCTATTTTGTTTGGCTGAAGAGGACTAGCCAATTCTTGAATCCACATTCTTGGTCCACATGGTGTTGCGTTTGGTTACTCAGAGCTGCTCTAGAGGCCAATATCCTGGGAAGACAGGAGGTGAGCCTTCTAGAAGTCCTGGGACCCGCATGTGCCCTATGACTTCTGAACCCTGCCTTAAGACCCTGCCTCTAATGGCCTGGCTCCTGTTACTCATCCTTGACTTAATCTTGTAAACAATCCTGCTGTGCCCTTTGGTTTCCCCAAAAAGGAAATGCCCATCAGAACTCGGGTGCTTCAGAGTCCTGTGAACTTTGGTCATATTCCATTCAGTGTCCAACTCTGTGGACAGAGAGATGTCTCAGAACATTCTCTTCTTTACTGCATGTTTCTTGAACTCTGGTTATCACAGTTTAACAATATTTCCCAAGATAGGTTCGAGGACATAACAGTAAATAAACACAGCAATAAATATTATGAGACGAGAGAGAGAGAGAGCACGCACCAAAGACAAGAACTCTGACAACTACTGCAATAAAACACCTCTTGGAACGTTGCTGATGGGGCCAGGATCAGGCAGGATAGGGTACCTGTCGGGAGCACAGACTCCAGCGCCAAATACCTGGATTTGAATGCCTGTGTGACCCTGAGCAGGTTAACCTCTCTGTGCCTCATTTTTTTCATCTGGGCTCTTGTGAGGATTTAGTGAATTAATGTATGAAAACCACCCCAAATGGCCCAGCAGGCAGTGAGTGCTACATGCATGAACTATCATCATCATCGTCATCACCTGGAATGAAAAGCCTGTTCACCAGTGAAACACAGCACCTGAAAATGTATTTGTCTCTACAGCTGGATGCTTTTGTTTTTGGACGAATTCACATAGCAATTACATTTTAATACATATTCACTGTATAACAATGCAAAGAATGTTCCTCCTAGGAAGTGTACGGGATTTCAAAATGTGCACTTCTGAAGCACACATTTGTTTTCTGAGTGGAATCCATTCATCTTCTGGTTGAACAGAAGAAATTACAAATTCACTGACATGCACCGTTTAATAGGGGATGGCATTTTAGATGTGGCTGTAGTTCATCTTGACAGGGCTAATGTAAGGCATTGGATGCCTGCATGAATTAATTGAAAATCCTATTACAGACTCGGTGACAAATAACTCTATTCACCATTACGGCCTGTTCTCTCGATTTTTTCCCCACCTCAATTAGCTCTGTTTGGCGCACTCTGCCAGCCAAATCCATGCCAGCCAAATCCATGCGCGGAGATACTGATTTAGCACTCTTAGAAACCATTCTGAACTGCTCCTTGAGGAGATCTGTAAAATTCCAGACAATCCACTGTGTGCTGCCTCTTTTGTAATATGCTGATGTGGGAACTGAAGGAATTTATTTCTTCACAGATCACTCCTACACACCAGTGGCCTAATGGACTTGCTAACTTTTCTACCAAAGCAAATACATTAAGTGTTCCTAAAATCATTAAACAATGAGTAGCAAATACTTACAACAGCGCTATACATTATGGTGAGCCTAGCTACAAGCCTGTGACTGCAACCTGAAATTCATTCATTCACACTGACTTGCAAAACCTTGCCTGGTAAGGTTATTTCAGTGATCAATAACCACAGAGAAAGAATCATAAAGCTCAGGGCAATCTAACCCATGAGCAGACAGACATTTGTGCATCTGGCTGTGTTTTTCTATGGTGTTCTTTTTCAATTCAATTCTAAGAGGCCAAGAAGCCAGTTTGTGTCAAGTTTCTCAAAAGGAGGTTTCCCACATTAAATGAAGTGAATTCTTCTCTGATTTCAAATCAAGCAAAGTTCAGTGATCTTTAAAAGACTTATTCCCACACAGACTGCAGATGATTAAGGAGGAACGGTTAACGACTTGGAAGAACAATAAAAGAATGTATTTTTCTTTTGCAACATCTGAAGGATAAAGCCAAAACAATTGGTTTGATAGCCTAGGATTACTCTTGTGAGTAAAATACATCCAGAGCGCACAGAGGCGCTGCCTTCTCATTCATCTCCTTAGGAAGGTCTGGGAGTCATGTCATCACCTGGGCCCTTTGCCCTCGCCGCTTCGGCAGGCTTTCCAGACTGATGCCTTTCTTCTGTATCCTCTCATCAGGCCAAGGCCCCTGAGGATCTGCAGAGCTTACATTTCACTTGGCTACACATGAAAGGGAGGCTTAAAAGGAGAGAAAGCCAGAGAGAAACCCACTCTGCAGTCTAACCTTGGGTTTGCAGCTGCCATTCACGCCACCAGCTTTATCCAAAATCTTGGCAATTTTGACAGGTGAGGTAGTATAACAATTCTTAATCTAAAATACATTTCAATCAATAGTGACTGATTTGCTCATATAAAAAAAGAATACATGTGACAGTGAGCCAGTTTTACTTCTCCAGTAATTTTTGCTTCTATGTTATATGCACAGGTATTTTATCTGACATTAAATTCCTCATGAGATCTGCACACACAAATATTTTTGATTAAATGCTTTACACTCCATTTCTGTGCCATCAAGTGTATTCCAATATCTGGCAAAGCACTATTTGATGATCTAGCTGAGATTCTAACAGGTAAATAAAACATTCACTGCCAATTTATTTTATGGACTCTAAATGCCAATGCTCAGATATAAATGCAAGGCAGCTTCTTGAAATTCAAATTCCTTCATGCATTTCTTACTGCTCCATAAAGAAAAAAGATTCAATGACCTACTTAAAAGAATATCTAGAAGATACTCTTGTCGTGGGAACAGCAATAGAATGCGTATAATTTAGTAATTTAGTTACATCTAAATTGGCACAAACTCTGGCTGATTCCAACTTGACTTTCAAAAACTATTTAGAAAGGACCGAGGCACAAGGCAATCACAGTAATAGAAGGTACTGCTCATAGAGTAGTGAGTAGCAAAATGGGTTGAGGAAAAGATTTTTTAAAATGTCCTTTGTACCACAAAATACATACCGGCTTTTCCCTACAAAGTGAAATAGCTATCAGGATATAGTAACAGTATTTCATTAAAATACTGATTCTTTA